GGTGGTACCGTTCAACACTCTTTGAAAAGAAAACGTATAGCGGTGCAGCATCATGTGTTAAGATGTACAGCATATCTACTATGCTGCAAGTCAGCGCTGACTCGTAGCATAGTTAGTAGATATGCTGTACATCTTAACATCATGTACATTAATCAAAATAAGAGGGACCGCCGTTATGTGGCTCCCTTCGTGTGTCATCTGTACTCCGTCTTTGTGACTGTCTGCCTGACGGGGCTTTGCACTCGTTCTTCCGCTCTGCTATTTTCAAACCTCAACTCATGCATGGATATTTCACCTAGAATATGTCTACGTTGTTGGCTGCTGGATGAATACAACGCGAAAGAAAGCTGTCTGGATGTACTTCAAGCAGTTAGAAATCTCAACCAAATCACACAAAGTCACAAATGTCGGTGCCAGCATACATACCTCAACAGGCGATGCACCAACGGACCAAGGGCATATATTACATGACCACTTGTAGACTTCAGGCTGTGGAGTCGTTCGCGTTATCACAATTGTTCTCTGGGCTACGCAGAACTCAACCCCCTGATACGCAACACGCTGTTGTTAGATTGAGCAAGGTCCTGAACGCACGCACAAGATCGATGGATAAAACAGAAAATTCCTATGAACTTGCCATGTTTCATCTCCACGGTTGCCCTCGTCTGCTGCTTGGGTCAGACGTGTCCATAAGGCACGACAGGATCAGCGGCGGGGAGCACCTGTAAACCTCTAGCAATTTATATGACACAAGGGTGCTTACACGAAGACACACACGACGGCGACCAACCACCGCGTCACTTGCGACGCTCCCATGATCTCGTTTGCTTAGGGACGGCAATTTTTACGGACACTTTTGATACCCCCCACACCTGCTTCAGTTTACGGCGAACCTGCTTTGATTTAGGAAACCTTGTCTACATGAACGACACGCAGCGCACCCTACCCGCCGTGCACACGGGGAACCGACGCTAGCAGCGAAAGGTACCAGCACGATTACATTCATGGTACAACGGTGAAGGTTGTAGATGCGGTAGAAGAGAAGGAGGAGCCTTTGGCAGCTCGGTACATGTAGTCGACCCCAGATTTCCTCTCTATGTCTGTTGCGTGGCTCTCTGCAAGCCACAAATGTACCGCGTAGGCGTTTGCTCTCTTTACTCCGTGCTTGATCCTTTGTTCGAAGTCTATCGTTCTGCTCGAGATGAGCTGAAAAGGAAGAATGTCGTGATCTTAGGGTTCCCCCGATTTAGAAGTCCAACATGCTCTTTGACCCCACAATACTTTTGGTTCCACTTTCTGGATGGCCAGAAGAGTGTGAAATCTCTCCCCACCTTGTCTTTTTGTGTGACGCGCGCGGTGCCTTCTGCTCGTGGATCCGTGAGGCCCTTGCAGATGAACATCCGTCACCATTTCTAAGCGTCTGTTGTGCGTTATTGGCATGATGCAAAGCTAGAGCTCGCGCTCAAACGAATAAATATATTGTAGATTCAATTATCCGAGTCTTCACCCATGTAATTTTTCGGTAAATATCTGTGCATGTCCGTAACTCTCTACCTGTATCGCACCCACACCTGCTCCTGTCCAACGGTGCGCTAAACTGATTTTAGACTGAGGTTGCAGCACTGCCAGCCATTGTTCGCGGGGCTAGCTCTCAACAGTTCCATATATCTTCCTCTCACCCGCCGTGCGAAACATGATGTTTTTTAGCAGGTCCAATCCACCAGGGCACCAGCTCTCAATAGGCTGCGATGACAAAAGCAAGGCGAGTTGTTGCAGACGCAGCATCGAGCTCTCCGTGTACAAAGGCATCATTTAACGCCATATTTCTAGACGTTTGGTGTGTTTGCAAAGGCCCTTGATTGCATTTCATGATCCATAGTTTGTACTTCAATCGGCATGTTTTTATATCCGTGGCGGAAGGCCCTCCGTGCCGTTGGGTACGTACGCACGATGCAGTTGTCCCGTTGTCCCGCTACGAAACGTTTCCGACGTTCACGATTCAGCTACGACCAGGGTCCCCGGCCGATTGTTTCCGACAAGCAGGTGGTTGTTGTCGACGGTAGGCGTAGTGCGGTGTTGGTGGGTCCCCATCCGGCGTGCAGGTGTTGTCGGCATTACGCTAGGCCAGCGTGAAGAACGGTGGTTGTCCCTAATAGTCAGTTTTCCCATCGATATGATGTGTTTGACACCAATCATTTGTGTACAGCGTCGTTTTCTACATATTCAGCCGGGCGGTTCAGCATAAGAATAACGCATGGATGTATTTGATTGCTGCCAAAATATGGACGCAGCAACCACTCATAACCTCGTACCTCGAATCAGGTTATGACCCCTGGCCTCGATATCTGTTTGCCATCTCTTTCCCTTTCCCTTGCCCGACGTCTTACAGCTTTTGAACACGTCTCAAGCCTTGCAATCCTGCCGAATCTGACCCCACCGGACGAGGCATGAGGCATTGCTACTTTCCGAACCCGGATGACCTGCCGAACCGCCCCTTGCCCACGACTGGTGGCGAGCCGGACCGGCACCCCGACAAAAAGCGACGCCAAGGTGTTAGAGCCTCAATTCTATACTTGGAGGTATGAGGTATGTAAGTACTACCGAGGTCCTACCATCGAAACAAATGACGTATTCACGAGCAGTGTTTATATTTTTGGGCGGGATTTCGGGCAAGTGGCCCAGCTGGGAGGGCTGTGCCGTCACATCTAGTAATTGCACCAGGTGAAGGTTCTGCTACATTTCTCGTGCTTCGTTTGTTCACTCCCATTTGAAATATAGGCTGTTGCAATATGTCTCTTACAGTTTCCTGCACACCTCCAACGAAAGAGTAAACGGTCAAGAAAACAGTCGTTTGGTTGACACAACGGCGTGATGGAATGTTCTTCTTCCTGTCGTGGCCGCACGAAAATCTACAGCACCACCGGAAGACCCCCAGGGGCAAGAAGACAGTAGTCTGCACAAGACTTACCTCGTGGAGGAAACGAAGAAAACGACTTTTCTTCACTAGGTGTAGAGGTTGTAAGCCACGACCAACGCCACCGCAGTGATTGCACGGTCCGAGGACAAGACATGCGACGACCGGGAACAGGCAGCGGAGGAAATCCCTGCGGAGCACCTTTCGCTCATCATGCGTGAACCCTCAATCCTAGAAGTGGCTGTGTGAAGGACATATGAATCGTGGAGCCCCCAAAATTGGGGGAAATCAACAAAACAATTTCTCGAGACTCCACGATTGATACTTCCTTTACACTGCCACCTCCAGGATCGTGGGTTCACGCATGAGCGAAAGATATTCCGGGGGGATTTCCTCTTCCTGTTGGCCCGTGGGCGAAGTTTCGAACCCGACGGGGCCCGAGCTCCACTCGCCCTAGACCACCTCGTCAGCCGCCGTCTGCTCCGGGTCACCACCGGTTTTGTCCCTCTTGGGCCGTGCAAATACGGCGGCGGTGTTAGCTTTTGCTTTCGACTTCAGCACCTTGTGTAGAGACACCGTTGTTCGGTTCCCCCATGAAGTGAGTGTATGCGACCTCATATTTAGTTGCCCCTGGGGAGTCTTGCGGAAACTCTGTTGATTTTCGTGCGGCCACGGCAGGAAGAAGGATACTTTCCGCCCTATTGTATCAACCAAACGACATTGTTGTCGTGTCGGTCACATAGTTATCGGAGGTAGGAAAAGGCGAAAGATATGCGAGAGTTATCTCACACAGCCTAGATTCCAAAGAACGTGAACAAAAGGAGCACGAAAAAGGTACACTAGAAGATTTTCATCCGGTAGCTGCTAGACGTGTCGACCCAGCCCTCTCGATTGGGCCACTTCCCGACCAATGTGCCGGAAAACATATAAAGAGCATATATCTAGCGATGCAAGGCGGTGGTAGGACCGTACCATACATACCTCCAAGTGAAGAATGGAGGCTCTAACGCCATAGGAAGCATGTGTGTAGGGAGTGTATGCGGTTAGGGGTCCGAGTGCGGGGCCCCTCGAGAGAGAACACGCGCATGTAGTTCGTGTGTAAGTTATCTTCTCTACTACGTGTGCTGGAAGGAGCACGTTTTTGTGTTTATCACGGTTTGTATCGTCGACATCGGTCCTGGGTTAACATAGTCCCCATATTCAACCCAAATACCGCGTGAAGGCGCGGAGGCACGAACAGGGGCGCAATAACATGTTTTTTGTTTGAAATAACACCCTTGGGGCGTTCTCAATGGCAGAGGGGTGAGCAGAACAGAAAATATTACCTCGGGGCGAAACGTCCCTGGGGGTGTTGGTCTCGTTCTTTGAAGTATCACCTGCACCAACGCAACTTGCTTGTGTGTTTGTCAACAGAAATACAGGAGAGGTGATGCTCGATTTGACACTGATGGAAAGGTTAAGGAGCACATTGCTTGCAGATCCGCACCGGATCCCCCCCCGGTAGTAACAAAAGTGCTGGTGCTGCGACGAAATTTTGACCGACGGTGTGTTGGGGGAACCCGTAGGTGGCAGTGGGGGCGGTGACCAAGCCAGCAAATCAGACCCGCAAGGGGGGGCGATGTGATACATCAACGAGGTAAGTTGGCTCTTGATCCCCGACGTTGAGAAAAGCTTCACGTTGGAAAGATTCTAAGCGTATGTTGCACCGAACGGCGATATTTACGGGTTGACATATTTACGGGTCGACGGATTCGGGGATTGTTAGTTCAATACTCCGATATTGCGACGTTGACATAGCGGTGTACGAGAAACAACCCAAGAATCGGTGATCCACGTCGTCTCTCAGAAACAAGGAAATGACGATAAGTCTGCATGCTCTACGTATTCACGTCGTACACAACAGGACAATAGAACAAAATGACGCTTATAGACAACAAGACCCGTCGTGTGCCCGCTGCTGTGAGCAGCGCGTGATGTCGCAAAGAGGGTGGTGCTTCTCTGGCAGACAACACTGTGCCGATACATACCAGACGTCTCTCTTGGTTTGTATGAGCAGTGTAGACCGGTGAACGTACCCACGACAACGAGGGCCACCTGCCACCGCCCCGGGTACCGTCGCGAACCTACAGTCCCCTCTACAACTGCAATCCAACATCTAATCATGATTCGTGTGGTCTTCGCTAACAACTGGTCGAGTTCTTACCTCGTCACTTGTTCTGTGATTGTGTTTCCTATGTAGCTTCAAAGCAACCTGTACCTATCATCGTGTATCTCATCGACTGAGAGATCCCCCGTTTCTGTGGCTTGCTCTTTTTGTGGCAACAGCAGTGGACGGAACACGTTTCTCAAGGATCCAGAATATCCACGAACTATTGAGCAATCAATTAAGCTCATCACTGTCCTCGAGTATGCTACTAGTCCCCCATATCTGAAGCCGTTTCATGAACGAAGTCTTGCTGGGACCCTCGCTCTGTACAGGCCTGCTCTTCTCCCACCCCACGTTCTTCCGTCTGTGCATCCGCCTCTCCGATCAGCTCGTTGCCTACAAGCTCTTCGGTCTCTAGAACTTGGTGTTGGCCTTGGTCTTGGTTCAGGGACACCGAGCTGCCCATAAGGGTCCTGTACGCCGTGTCTGTTGCATGCGCACGGCGTTGGGCACGCATCAGCTAGCGACTACGTGGATATATTCGGAAGTCGAACGTCACCACGGTGTGTCAGAACCAGTCGCACCGCCGCTGAGTGCACCCAACTACGAAAAGTACGTTTTTTTTATCTTCGCTGTGCACAGCCTGATGCAAACGTTTACGACAACGAGCACCGACTAAAAAGCTTGTAGTACACCTCACCACAGTCGGACATCTCCACGGGTCTGAGCGCCACTGCGCCCCCCCCGGGCGGTTGACGCGAAAGGACTTTCTCCAGATCTCTTTCGTGTTCGTATAGGGAACGAACCGGTCCCATGCATGCCTCTCGGCAGAGACTCTGCTGGTGGAAGGAAACATGGCGGCGGAAAATGTGTGGTACATGAAAGAAGGGCACTCCTCCCGCAGTGTTGTTCATCGAGATCCGAGTTGTGCAGGGACTGATAGACAAGCGTTCACTAGGCTGTTTCCACGCAAAAAGCTGCAATTGTTTCAGGTTTGTTTTCTGCACTCATTCCTCATCACGTACCCTTACTGAGTCTACTACGTACAACCTTGATATCAGACCCGCTCCATTCGGACACACGATCGGACAGGGCCGATATCTGCGTTGAGTTGAGGGAGTGCTCGATTCCTTCCATGAAGCTGACAATCATGTCCATCCTCTCCTTGTGGTTTGGTGGACCAACAAAGACACGGCTGTGGAAGCGTCGCAAGAGCGCAATATCGATGTCATCTGTAAATGAGAACCGCAGTTAGCGAAGAGGTGGAAGAGAGCGCGGGGGGGTAATTAGCAGAGCATTTACCTGCCCTCGGTGTTTATACGCCACACAGTATTTTTTGTAATTGTTTCTTACTATCTTCGTCAGCTCCGGCATACAAGCTTACCCATGCGGTTGAATTAATCTTACCTATGCGGTTGGTGGCGGCAATCATCACGACTTGATCCTTCGGTCGAAGCTGAGAAGTCTGGAGGAGGATCTCGGCCAGCAGGCGGCGTGTTTGAACTTGGGACGGCAGCAACAGTCAGAGACAGCCAGTGTTAGAATGTATGAATCTGATGCTCGACTTCCTTGAAAGCTGAGCCATACTCTCTACAGGAGCACATCTCCTTTCCTTCTCCCAGCCAGGACAACGTACATAGCTCAGTGGCCCTTGAACCCAACGGTGGAAACCAACAAACGAGCGTTTCTAACCCAGGGGGGGCTAACCTCGCTCCCTCAAAACAAAGCCAAGCACACCTCACCATCATCTTGCGCATCTCGACTCGGAGCCTGAGACGACGGAGTGTGTGGCAAAGGAGTCGGCGTGAGTGTTGGTCAGCTAGTGTGTTGTGCTCATGCAGGGCGAATGACCCCTTTGTAGCCCCCTCCCACAATCGTTGTCCGGCCGGTTAGACGCCAAACACGTACCAGAGCATCCAGCTCGTCAAGAAAGATGACGCTAGGCTTGGTTTTCTTCGCGTCGTCAAAGAGCTGGTGGAGGACCCGCTCGCTTTCACCTGCAATAAAATGTAGGCACATGCAACATACAGCGCGGCAGGTTTCGACAAAAGGCGATCGACGGGGGAGAAATATGCAACACACAGCGAGAAGGTTGTATTTTGAGCGAATGACGGGGGGGATCACGTGCACAGAATATTTTTGAGCAGACTCGATATTTAGTGCCCAGTACTCATCCTTGCTTGGAATCTTGGTTCAACCCATGCATAACTTAACCTCACTCACCCTGGTACTTGGATAGAATTGAACTCGGAACCACAGAGTAGAAGGCTGCGCCCGCCTCTTGACTGGCCGCCTGAGCGATCGTGGTCTTGCCTGTGCCCGGCGGTCCATGGAGGAGGACGTTGTTTCCCGAAGACCTGAGACCAACTGAAGGTTACACAGAGGGTGTGACTGGCTGCGAAGCTTGGCCCGAAAACACAAACGTAGGCCACCATGATGCCCATGAATATCATGGTTCGTGCAAAACTATGAGAAGTCATGCATGATACTACTGTTGTAACGAAGACTAAAAGGCAGCCAACGTGATGTGAACAATTCTGCAGAGGTGTATGGAAGCTAGGCACGCTGGCTTGTGCAACGTATCCGTGTTGTTCTGAACGGCCAACCAAAAGTTTCCACCCACCGAATAGGGAGCCTCGCGCTTCTTCGGATAGTTTGAGCGGCAACACGACGTGCTCGAACAAAGCCCTCTTTGCAGCTGCGTTGCCTACAAGGGAGTCGAACGTCAGGGACTCGTCGGGCTCCCAAGCCGTCGGCATGGTGCTCATGCTACGAGTTGGCGACCCAACTGGCGCTGCTCCAGAGAAGGAACCGTTTTTGTGCTCAGCAGCCCCACCCCCCGAAAATGAAGGTGTCTAGATGATGCGGAGAGAAGCAAACGTGTGTGGTTACGGTCGGCCGCAAGGATTGGAGGGTCGTAGCTGCCTTGAGGAACCTGCCCTACACTAACCCTAAGAAATCACAGAGACAGGTGGGAAATAACGAGGTTCGCTGTCGAGCCTTTGGACACGGGTGCGCATTCTTAATGGATTTATGCGTGCCCAGTCTAAACTCGCCGACTGCGATGGAATGTTGTGGCCTCTCGTTCGCACAGGCGGCTTCTTCTCCAGTGCTTGTCGCCTCCGACGGATTGACCGATTCAGGATGCTTCCACAGAGCTCTAACGACGCTGAATATCTCCCTGCCCGATCGGACGGACAAAGTAATTTGTTTTGACTTAACATTCCTTTCGATGCTTCGACACTTGAACGTTTTAGTGTTTGACACGCGACGTTGTTGCGGGACCTCCCATTGTTAGTATTATAAGTTCGGCAAAGAGTTTGGTAGATATTGAATGCATACTTTTCCCTCGTGCAGCGGCAGCAGCCCGGGGGGATGTCTTGCCGGAGCTTTGATTGAATCATGAGTTCCTATCACGGTGCTGCTCACTCCCGCTTCTCTGTAGACCATGTACTACAGTCACCCCATAAGCGACGTAGGGCATCAAGTATGCACCCGACAACTCACCTAGCTCTATCTCGAAGGAAGGAAGCTCGAAGATCAGGTCGAGCAGGCCCTTGGCTTTCACCAAGGAATCGTAGCTTATCAGATCATCGTCGTTGTGCAGGTTAGCCAGACCGGCGGTGGCCTGAGAAGAGATCGAATTCCGGACGAGAAGCAGCAATGGTGAGTTGTGGGGTGACCTCGACATAGCTGGGATCACCATGCTGATCTGGCGAGGGGCTGAAGAGTCACCTTTGACTTGCAAGCGCGCTACCACGCCGGCACGACCTGGGGGCAGGAGCTCCGGTGCGGAGGAAAATTCAAAATCAAGGGATGTCTTGCTCATCCGAGTTAAACCATGGAGGCTCACCAAAGCAGTAGTTCCCTTCACTAGAGACAATGTCGATGCCATATCTTCGCGCGTGTGTGCCGCCCGTGTAGTGCAATTCTGATTTGCTGAGTCGTGCGGCACCACACGGGGCAGCAGAGACAGCCGCACATTTATTGGGGGGTGTTCGAAACATAGTGAGGCGATGTTGGGCAACGCGCGCGCCGCGACTTTGCGGCGGAACAAGCAATAGCATTGGCCGCAGAGGAGCTCTGCAGGCTGGTCCAAGGTTACTTTTTCATCGATTGATTGATGTTGTTGTGTCTATGATATAGACTATCTTGAACATACTATCTTTCTCATCGTCAGTGACCTGAACGTTTAGATAGATAAAACGCGGGGCCTAAAGCATCATCGTACACACCCCATCCAGCAGTCAGTCCATTTTTACTTCGAAAAGAAGAGGTGATGAAATGTGATGATGATGTGGATCATTTGTTGTTATTGTGTTGTCAAAATCTATCTGCAGTAAAATAGACTACTGTAGTCTACTTACAGTTAGTTAGTTGAATAGTTAGTTGTTGTCGCAGACAAGATTGAACGGCGGCCACCTCCAGCGCTTCCAGCGCCTCCGGCGGCCGCGCCTGGTACTATTGCTGCTGTAGGGATGACACCTGCTGCACATTCATTCCTGCTTGCACGGGGGCGGGGCGGTACTACTACAGAAGAAGAATCATCACATTTATTTCATTTTTTTTGTAGGTTGGTTCATTTATCTATCTGAAAGGAGGGAGGGCTGTAGTCCAAATGACGCATCATCAATCATTCTTGACATGTAGATAGGCGGCCACCTCCGGCGCCTCCGGCGCCTTCGGCGGCCGCGGCTTGAACGGGCGGGAGAAGAAAGGAAGAAGGGGTCCAGAAACCGCCATCTTCAGCCAGCACTGATGATGATGTAGACTAACTAGACTATGTATGATGTATGTAGACTATGTATAGTATGTATGTAATGAACTTCGTACTGCTGGGAAGTACGCACAACTAGGCGTGCCGTGGGCGGTAGCTTGCTCTTAGAAGTAGATGAAGGCTCTGTCGTTGACACTCTTGTCCACGACCACGTCGAGATGGGAAAGATGCTTGTTATTGCTGAGAGACTATTAGCAAGGGTCTGAGATGAAGAAGTAAAAGTGGGGATCCAACTTCTTCATCTCAGGGGGTACACAGAGTAGACATTTCTAGGCGGGTAGGGGTCAGAAGGGTTCCAGAGTGAGCTTTTTTCTCACTAAATACATCCTGGTCTAGGATGAAAAAGCGACGCGCTGCAAAGCTCGTTAGTAAACCATAATCAATCGACTTCGTAAGTCGCGAGGGAAGGGATTGCTGTACCCTTCTCGCGATAAAAATACCTCAGGCAGGAACCGCAGGAGGGGGTCCAGCCCCCCCCTCCTATGTGACCCCGGTTGGGTCGTCTAGCTAACTAAGTAGAAGTGGAGGATAGGGGCCAGATGGAGGGGCAGACGACAGAGTCCAATGATGGGAGAAAAAAAAAAAATATATATATATGTATACTTCGCATATATATACCTTTTTTTTTTTGTCTCCCATTGTTGGACCCTGTCGCCTGCCCCTCTGGCCCCTATCCTCCACTTCTACCA